AGCTGTTTAATGGTTTTAGACTTTTTGACTCCTTCTTTGTACCAAAAAAAAAAAGGCAATCTAATTTGAATTTACACAAATTATAAAGGGAACATAAAATTAATACCTAAGAACAACTTCAAAGTTAACAAAACACACCAGTGCCAGTGGACATTGATAATAAATAAATAAATAATCTCCAACGAGAAAACAACCTAGACACACTAAGAATACCAAACAAAACATGATAAATTGCAATAAAATATTGGAATAAAATCTCCCACAATTTTAGGAGCTACTGTTTAGATATGGCCAAACTCGGTTCCACGCCAAGAGTTGGCAGGCTTGAACCGCCATAACATATTCACGGACCGGTTGGTGAACCAGCAGTTTCAAGTCGGTTTGGTGAACCGTTGGTGTTGGGCGGACCTGGTTCACCAAAAAGAAAAATAATATAAAATTCAAATAAAAGAAAAAAAAGACCAAATCGTCTGTTTTGAAATCATTAATCACTTATGTATTGACACTTATCTAAAATGTATTTATTGTAGGACACATGTCAATACATTATTTGTTAATAACTGTGGATGACTACATAAATCGAACCATACTATAATCATTATCCGTATGACTACAAATGACTTACCTTAATTAATTTCGGCTTGAGACATTAGTCGGCGCGTGAAACTGACATTCCTCCTAACAGTCAATTAAATTCATTTCCCAAACGGAGAGAGGCTGCGCCGCCACATGGCTGCGGATGGGGCGTGTTATTTCTGTGGCCAACCGGAGTCGATGTTGCACGTTCTGCGTGATTGCTCCCACGCCCGGCAGATTTGGGATTTATTAGTTCCCACTCAACAGCATGGTGAATTTTTCTCGCAGGAGTTATGTGGTTGGCTATGGTCCAACCTGTTGGGGTCCCCGTTAGACGACCTGGAGGAATGGACAACCACTTTCTCTATCGCTTGTTGGCGAATTTGGGCTTGGAGGAATAAGATGGTCTTCACGAACAAGGTTGTTCCCCTCGAGGCTAAGATCCGGGATATTCGAAGCCGGGTGCAGCGGTACCGCGAGGCTGCGGCTTGCGAGGGAGTGTTGGGTGTGCGGGACCGTCATTACGAATCCATCATGGTCCACTGGAAAGCTCCCCCGGAAAATTGGATCAGGATCAATTCGGATGGTGCATTTTGTTCTTCTTCTGGGCGGGGTAGTGTTGGGGGTCTCGCACGAGATTCTTCTGGTCGTTGGTTGGGTGGTTTCCTTATGAACGTGGGCTCTTGCTCCATCACAGGGGCAGAACTCTGGGGCCTATTCCACGGACTCCATTTGGCGTGGGAATTAGGTCGCGACAAGTGCTCGTGGAAGTCGATAGTTCATGTGTCGTTGCTATGGTTCAGGGGGATGAGGAGAATTCTGGTATCCATGGCCAGATCGTCAAGGCTATTCGTGCGCTACTCCAGCAAGACTGGTTAGTTCGAGTATCCCATATCCATCGAGAAGGGAATTTTGCGGCCGACACTTTAG